CGACAGAAGCGCGATTTAAGTGAAGGTAAGGGTTAGGTTTAGGGTTAGGTTCAGGGTTAGGTTTAGGGTTAGGTTCAGGCTTAGGTTCAGGGTTAGATTTAGGGTTAGGTTTAGAACTCGTGGTTATTACTTGTTCATTGAAGGTGCGCTTTTATCGGTGCGCTGTTGTCGGCGTGCTTCTGCGCTCATTCGTCGGCACGAAAACTCACGGTTTTTCACCGCGGTTTCGTCGGCGCGCTTTTGTCAAGCGCGCATTTGTCAGTGAACCAGAGTTTTGTTGGTTCAGAAGGAAATTGGGTAACAATCTGCAGACGGTACGTCCCAGAACTAGAAATAATTTTAGCACTCATCCTTATGCCTTCAAGAATGAAATCTTTTCTATATGTGCCCCCAAGACTGGGAAAGGCTTCCATTCAGCTGCATCCCAAGTGATATATAACTCCACAGTTAGCAGTCATAGGTTCTCCTCCTTAAATAGAAATAACCTTTTTGCAGATGCTGCTGAATGGCGGCCTGATCCAGTAGCTCTCACAACTGGTCTGATCGCTAACTGGAGCTCATTAGAGCCTGCCAAGGAAATGAAAACAATGGCTAAGCTTACGGATCTAGAACAAAATGGGATTTAAAGGTGTGGTTCAGCCTCTCTTCTTCTAATATCTCAACCAGAAATGCTATTCCATAGGACAGGTGTGGTGACAGACTAGGCACATCTCTGAATCCCCACCAGATGCCACTCCTGAGTGGCAGGGATGCCAACTCGGTTAAATCTTACTGGATGGTAATCCAAAGCATGCAGTTCAGCTAATAATCAGGCTCTGTGCCATGAAGGGCTTTATAAGTAACAGTCAGACCTGAAAGTCCATGTTATGTTGAATGGGCATAGCAAGGTACATCCCATAACAACTTGCATGGCTGTATTTGGATCGGTGGTGAGGAGTTTTCAAGGGCAGCCCCATGTAGTCCTCACTTGGACTAGACAAGAGGTGCCCAAGGCATGGCTGACTGCAAATAGGACATCCCAATGGAGAAATGGGGGGGGGGGGCAATTGGCACACAAAGTAGATTTGTGCAAAGGTGCATCACCTGCTCTACAAGCAGGAGCTGAGAATCTAGGAGGAAACCCCCCCAACCTGTATTTTAGCTCTACCTGGGGGCCAGGGGTGGGTTTCTCGCCCCGTTCCAACCGGTTCGGTTGGAAGGAGGCCGGCGGCGTCCTCGCGCACGCACGCGGCATCCTCGCGCACGCACGCGGCA